TGTACCAAGCACATATTAACAGCCTCTTGTCATGCCTTAAATCAACTTCAGATGAGAGACTTTGATTGTAATCGATATTAGTTATCGGCGTAAGCGCTTTGCAGAACGCTTTTACCCCGAAACACTGATGAAAAGCACTTCACAAGAGCTAAAATAATAAAATAATAGAAATGCTTCCATTATTTCAAAGGAACTCATTGCCAAAAGCTAAGATAACCTCTGTTGTTGTCCCTCCCTCCCTCCCCCCTCCAATTACTTAAGGACCTACTCACCACTGTGTTAATCTAATTTCACACGCATGTAACCTGTAAGACCTCAGTGTAGCCATTCCTCAGTGAAGCTGGAAGTGAACCAAGGTTAAGTGATTCCATCATTTCTATCTATTAAGGGGGTTTTATTTTCATGTGGAACTAACATAAATCAAAATTATTTACTGACAATGAAGGCTCTTGTTTGCAGGGCCTGGTGTACAGGCTACTTCTCTTCCTATGGCAAAGTGACCCATAGCTGCAGTCACCCTATCTTTTACCCTGCAGCCAGCAACACCTGCAACCAGCAGATGAAGACATTGCACCACCATAGCTTGAATACCTAAAGACAAAAATTTACCACAGGCTGGGTTTGGGTTGGAAGGGACCTTAAAGCTCATCCAGTTCCAACCCCTGCCATGGGCAGGGACACCTTCCACTAGAGCAGGTTGCTCCAAGCCCCTGTGTCCAACCTGGCCTTGAACACTGCCAGGGATGGGGCAGCCACAGCTTCTCTGGGCACCCTGTGCCAGGGCCTCAGCACCCTCACAGGGAAGAATTTCTCCCTAATGTCTCATCTCAATCTCCCCTCTGTCAGGTTAAAGCCATTCCCCCTTGTCCTGTCCCTACAGGCACTTATCAAAAGCCCCTCTCCTGATTTAGGTACTGTAAGACTGCTAAGTTGATGACATTGAACTATTTCCATACAGTGTTTCAGAACCTACGGAGAAGACACCTATTGAAGAGGCTGCTATTATTCTCAACTGCTTGCAGAGTGTGCATTTTTAAAGCCAGAAAGAGAGACTGCTTTTTACCTCTCTGGTGGTGCTGGGGCTTTTTTAAAGTAGAGGTAAGTGTAACTTCCATATATGAAACTCTTCCTAGATGTCTGGTTTTTCAAATATATATAGATGGTATTTGAAGATGAAGCTAAGCACCACATTCCTCCAAACATCACAGCTTTAAAGCCTTCAACTGTCCTTACCGCACTTACAAAAATTCATTTGAGTGAGAAACAAACATAACATTGAGGAGCAAATAAAGGACAAGTCTGCCCAGACCTCTGCATAAAGCAGGCAACTTGGTGTCTACAAATCAAATGAAAACAGTGGCTCTCAGCTGACAATTTCCTGGTGATGGGGATAACTGTTTGTGCAGGATCCAGCTTTGGGCTGGCAGGAGGACTTGCTGCTGGCCCAGAGTAGCAGCAGTGCCCCACAGGTGTGGGGTTCACTTGTTGGTGAGGCAAAGTTTGAAAAGGCATTGATTTTAGGAGGCCTATAAGGATGCTGGGGGAGGGACTCTTCATTAGGGACTGTAGCGATAGGACAAGGGGTACTGCGTTAAAACTTAAACAGGGGGAGTTTAGATTGGATATAAGGGAGAAGATCTTTACTGTAAGCGTGATGAGGCACTGGAATGGGTTGCCCAAGGAAGTTGTGAATGCTCCATCCCTGGTGGTGTTCAAGGCCAGGCTGGACAGAGCCTTGTGTGACATGGTTTAGTGTGAGGTGTCCCTGCCCATGGCAGGAGGGCTGGAACTGGATGATCTTAAGGTCCTTTCCAACCCTAACTATTCTATGAGTGGCACTCACGCGTGTGTCACTAGGTATATATGATGGAGAGAGCAGCCCTTGATGGTTTTGAACTGAATCAATGTTTAAAAACAACCCTAGAAATGTAAACCCCCTAGGCTGTCAAACACACAGTGAAGTGTTGAATATTGCATTACTCTCCCCATGACTACTGAGGAAAATGAGCAAGTGACAGAAACTGGTATCAGATATGGGTCAATACTGCACAAATCAGACCTGGACTTTGAATCCCCTGGAGATTCCAGGGGTGGGATCTCACATTTAATAACAATATACAGCAAAGGCTCCTCTCTTATTTATAGGCCTAGGACAAAAGAAAACATTATTTTCAAATCCAGTAGTTTAAATCTAACCCCCTTGGCTTTAAATTGGAGCTCTAATTTCAGAACAAAGCGAGCGCCACAGATACCAATTAGTTTTACTGCTTTTCTCTTAGCCTTTCTTGACAAACCTCAACTGTGAATCACCAGTAAAGCAAAAATAAGGAAGGAGACCTCTGTTTTCCTCCATCACTTTCTCTGCCACATGGAGAGGAAGAGGCCACAGCAGCTTAAGGTATTTCGTTCCAAACAAGGCATGTTTTCACCACAGTAGCCTGAAGAGGTGCCCTGCACTTGGGATGAAGCTTGGTTTATGCTACAGCTTGTGTCTTATAAAGGACAGGGACAAACCATTCAGCCTTCCCTGCCTGAGGCTTCACCCAGGGAACAGTCATTCACAGGAGTAACCCCACTGGCTTCAGTTACTACTCAGCAGTTGGAATATCAGCATCCTCATAAAGCATCTTCATTTTCAGCTGCTGAGCAGCTACGTGTACTCACAGAGCCAACAGCCTGTAATCCTGCCTTCAGGAACCTCTGAACACAGCTGTCATTACTGCTGTAAATGCACATGAATAAGTTGTGGTGGGTACAGTATATAGTTTAAATATATATGGCTAGAAAACTAGAAAATCACTTCCCTTTTCATACCTAGCACCCTTTTTATACCAACAAAGCCTCACATGTAAGTTGCAAGTCTACCCTGATGGTTTTTTCCCTATGAGATGTCTTCTTGCAGTTTGTTTTCCATTTCAAGGCAACTAAATGGCTAACATTATATTTTAATACTTTAATATACAACATCTCATTGCTCTGTGAAATATTAATGAGCCCTCAATGCATCCTTATGGAACTGCTGGAGGTGTCTAGACTGCCTGCTTACTTCAGGACTGCCGTGCTGCATAACTTTGGGGTCTGTTACTTTTCTAAATGCATCATATGATCTCCCTAACATAAAAGATTCTATGGATAATTGTCCTCACATGGCAGCGCTCTCACAGCCTGAGCACAGGGGTCTTTTTACCCAAAGTCTTGCAAAGGTTCATCCAAGGATTTAAGGATGCACAGAGAATAACCCGACTCCAGCGATACCCAGATAAATATTATATCCCTCCTTTCATCAATCAGGATATTGCATTATATCAAACATGCTCTTTCCCTAAGCCACAGTTCAAACACACCCATGCAGCCAGGCACTCCAGCATCCATTGCAGCAGAAGCTAAAACCCCAGCAGTACCTGCACTCATGCACACAAAGCCTCAAAGGGATGTTAAGCATGTGCTGAAAGCTAAATCCCCACTGGGCCTGGCTGAGACTGTTTTGAACATGGGGAATGATGTGCTCTCCCATGCTGCAAGAAGCTGCAGGCTTTTCCTTGAGACATCAGTGGGAAGGCACCTGTAAAGGATCTGTCTGATTAGGATTGGTCCATGCAGTAGGCCAGGAGGGTCACTCTGGTTTCAGGTTTGGTTTTTCTTGGTAAAAGGAGGTAATATCCCCTCCCCCGAAAAGTTTGAATTTCCAAAATTCCTTATTTATCTGTTAAAAATACCTTCCAGTTTGTTGGTGCCTCATGTCCTCTCCTTTCTCATTCCCATCACTAAGGAACACTGTTCTTTTTCTACCGTGCGTAACCCACATGGTACTAATTTCATGCAAGTTTGGTGAAATTCCAAGGGTAAAGAGTATAAAGCCCATTAATCACTCCAGACAAGCTGCCAACACCTGTACTGGCACTTCACCAGATCCTAAAGGATTAATAACAGCAAGAACCTGCTACCATTCTCCAGTAACTGCCTACAGCCTTCCGGCAGCAGAGCTTGCACCATTGGCTTTAACCATCAGCCCTACAAATATTTCACCATCCTTCCTCCCCTCTAAGCTTGTACTCAGAAATGCCATTGAAGCAGTTATTCCACATGGCTTTGCAGGCAAACTCTGGAACCATTACTCCAGCTTTCTGGAGCACAGGACATATCACCCTCAGCCATAGCATACCTGCATCCTCACTGCCAAGATACAGGAGTATACGGGGCTGTGAGTTGCACATGGACTGTGTAGTAACCATTTACACAGAGGTGGATTTTCACCAGAAGAACAGAAATTGAATGTTAGTTTTACTTCCTCTCTCTTATCTCCCTATGTCCACCTAAAACAAGGAATGCCATGTTTGTCACCTGCACAGGTTTGCCTACAGCTGCCTCCTTATCTAACAGAGCAGAGGACGTTGTATCAGACCTCCAGAAAGACTTCATGCGAGTCAGTAAAGCAACTCAGAGAATCACATCCTTATCCCCCGAGCTGTAACTTAATGAGATAACCTATAAAATTCGCTGAATTTTCTAACCAACCACACATGCTGCAGTTCTTCCCGAGACAGCACTACACAGCCAAAACTACATACATATTCTGGAGCAGCTTATACCCACAGGGCCATAACCACACATGCTGTACAACCACGTTTAAAATACAGCCATTTTCAAGGGGCTTTCCCTAAAAGACTGAGTAAGCTCATGTGAGTGTTACATAGCTAACATTAACCTTGAAACCAGCAAAGTTGCCAAGCCCACAGACACGCTTATAGACACAGCATCTATTGCAACTTAGGGCAGCTCATGCTTCAGGAACCTGCTCATCAATGCAACTCTCATCTGTCCACAGTTACCCAAACAGAACACAGAGGAAAAGGTCAGCACAGTTTTGGTGCCCAATGAAGCAGATGCACCACTTAAATCGAGCTTTAGCATTGACTTCAAACACAGTTTTCCTCCAGCTTCTCCCTCCAAGCACCCTGTAACACATTGTCTTTTGCAGCAGCTATTCATTAAGAACTTACCTTTTACTCCACTTCTTGCAGGGGCACCTCCTGAGCTCACAACACCCTTCACCCCCAGAAAACCAAGGTATAGAGGTTCCCAGTTATGGGACAGCTTATGCAGACCAGAACTTCTCTCACCTTCTAGCAAGAGCAACCACAGCAACTACCAGACGCGGTGCTCGCAGGTGCATGGCAATAAGAGCTGCCACAGCTGCATGCGTTTATCTAATTAGTGCCCACTTCACTGATGAGTGATGTGAGACAGCTGGGAGAGTCTTAGCTCTGCTTATAGATGAGAGGTGTGAAATGCCATCCTCACACAGCTGAGGGGAGAGCTGTAACAGTCTCCTTGTGACCCAACAGAGTTAAAAACTAACTACAAGTCTTCAGAAGATGGGGACTCTTCCCACAGGGAAGAATTTCTTCCTAATGTCTCATCTCATTCTCCCCTCTGCCAGGTTAAAGCCATTCCCCCTTCTCCTGTCCCTACAGGTCCTTGTCAAAAGCCCTTCCCCAGGTTTCTAGTCAGCCCCCTGTAGGTATTGGAAAACTGTTACAAGGTCTCCTGAGCTTCCTCCAGGCTGAACATCCTTCAAACATCCTTCAAGCCCTCCATCCTCACGTCCATTGCTGGAAGACGGAGTGCAGATGCCCTCACCTCAATCACTGAGCTCATCTCTCATCTCCTTGGCAACGCAAGAAGCAGCAAAGCTCTGACACTGTCACGGGGTGAAGCCTGCATGCAGCACAGGCCTACCACACTGGTTTCCCACCAGTGCAAGGCACTGCACAGCACACAGAGGCATGATCCTGTTCCCTGCAGCACACCCCCAGCTGTGGATACAGGGTCCCAGCTTTCCCACACAGCATCAAATGGCTCCCAAGCACATTGCAGTGTGGTACCTCAGCCCCTAACAGGGTCCCCCCATCTGAAACACTCACCATCCCTGTGTGCCAAGCAGGGAGTGTCTCACCACACTCCCTTTGCAAAAGATGCTCTGGCTTTGCATGTCTTCATTTATCTCTATAACCTTAGGATGTGTACAGCATGGAGCATGTAGGACAACCCTTCAAACTCAGTGTCTGCTGAGCAAAGGTGTACTCTCATGGTTTTTAAATATGGGAATCTTACCCTGAGGGTGTTGGACACCTTGGGAAGTCAAACAATTCACCAATGTTACCTGAAAATGGACCAACAAATATAAAATAGGAGGTTCTGACCTGCATGCTTTGCTCAAGATTATGCAGCCAGAGATGAGGGCAGAACTAGTAAAGACCATCTTATCTTTGAACACACTATTAACTTAATGAAATTCAAGTATTTGAAAGCACTGACCAGAGCTGAGAGTACCAAATCATGTCTACAAAAGGTGCCTTTATGAGCCATCCAGCTCCCACAGAAACCAATGTTTAGCTCAGACCCTAGAAGACAGATTACCCTCCTAGCTATGCAGGAGTGATCCTTCACACCAAAGCTGTCTGAACAGAGAAAAGAAGGGAGAAATTATTTCCCCATCAGACATGTTCCCCTAGGCCAAACGCTCTGATATGCTCTCTGCTACAACAGGCACAGCACAGCTGCCCTCTGTTTTCCAAACACTTGGTGTAGGTTTTGTGCATGCTCCAGGTGAGGGCAGTTTCACCCTCATTCAGAGAAGTGCATCTTCCTTCTCTGAAAATACAAAAGGTCAAGAAAGAGGCAGAAAAATATTAACCTGGCAGTCAAGAAAAACAGCAGGAACCCAAAGCCATTTCAGGTTTTGTGGGGCAGAGAGGTGGGGAGGGTGAAAGCGATGCACAGCCACTCTCCTTCGCCTTTTGCCCTCCTGTCTGAGAAGGTGCTAATTTTTTCTGTGAACACTGTTATTCTGTCTGCCCCAGTAAGGAGCAATGCTGAGCTCCTCACTGCCTCTAGAATTAAGAGAGCTCATTCCAGTTACCTGAATGCTGCTGATCCTGTCCTCTGTTTCATAACCACTGTTGTAAAACAGCCATTTGAGCTGTGAGCTCACCGTTGTTGTATTCCTGTGTAGAAAGGCAGTATTCCTGCTGTGGAGAAACCTGGAATGAACTCCGAGATCCTATTATGAGTGGCAAAACCTCCCTGGATTTTAGCAGGGTTGAGATTTCACTCATGCTCTTCAGAAGGCACCTTTCTGCATGGCAAACCCACTGCAGTGTTTGAAGGCTTGAGCAGAGCCCCTCCACAGAACTGGATAGGTTTCTTGCTTAAGTCCTTACCTGCACATAGTTCTCCTATGAAACCTCACTTCACTTTGCTCGCTGCAGTTTGAACGCCACAGGTAAGGGCCGCGTCGGCCTGTCTTTATGAGGATTATTATGGACCCAACATAGTGTTGGATTCCCTGGTCTGTGCTTTTACTTCATTCTTGTACAAACACAGCTAGTCCTTCCTTCTGCCTCAAAAAATCTTTCTCTTTTGACCCCACCAGCTCTTCAAAGGAGACAGTGAGAAGCTCTGATGTCTGAAGGTGCCCCAGCACAGACTGATGCTGGAGCGTCAGTGACCATCTGCCTCCCGGACCATAGCTCTTCATATGAGCATTGCAGCATCTGCTCTGAAAGGATAGACCAACTCCTTCAGACTTCATTTGAGCTCAGTTTACAGGGCAGCCAGTTATTAAGGAGGGCAGGTTACATCCGTTGGATTTCTTCTTTCCCTTTTGGGCGCAGCTGGTACAGGGAAGACTCGTGGTGAATTTAGCAGAGCTGAACCAAGCCCTGGTACAAGGAGGGATTACACACAGAACAGCCCCTGCCTTTTAGCAACACCCCAACTATATGGGCTCATTTAAATTTTGTAGTATGCAATTTTAACAGCTAACAAGCCGTATCTTTTTTATGACTGAGACAGTAATAACACTCTCTTTAGTTTTAAATGCTCTGCTGGCAGGCACAGGACTTCTGCAGAGCATCTCGTTCTCACAAAGTCTACTGTCTGCTCATGGGTAAGTGAGAGCTGCCTGGGTTGAGAGTGATCACAGTGAAGACACTGGAGACAGCAAAGAGAAAAAGTGAAGACTGCTTCAATTCAGAAACCTGGTCCAGCTCCAAATTATTCTTTGACATTATTCCTTGTGACATTTGATGAGAAATTTTATTCCTACCTGCTGCCTATACCCGCATGCATGCAGATTGGGTTTGGTGGTCTACAGTAGGGTGTTTTGTTCATGTTGCTTAGTGTCTGCTGTGCTGCTGCCTGGATCTGCTATTGTTGTTTTTCTAATAACAGGGCAAGAAAGCTCAGAACAATACACCATGGTCAAACCCCAGGCAGCTAGAGGAGGAGAACTGAGCTCCAAAGAAAACCTAGATGAAAGAGAGACCTGCCTTCTTTAGAGAAACTAAAGAGGACTTAGGTAAACAGGGTCTGCCTCTTGCCAGTACCTTCAATATTTGATTTTACCATCTTACTCTCTCCCTTCCTTCATCCCCAAGTATTTTTAATACATTTGTGCGCATGTAACTCTCAAGATTTTCATAAGAAATCAAAACTAAATTCCATCATTATCCACACGGACAATCAGCAGGATCTGTGCCACAGACGTTTACCTGCCTGCTCCTTCCTTCCATGGTACATCCAGCAGCTTCTCCTTGCTCAGAAAGTTCCACAGAAGCCACAGGGAAGACTTTCTGGTTCCAGTTTGGATGACCAGCTGCTGAAGCCATAATCACAGGAGAGGTCCAGCTCTATTCCACCAGAACATGCTCAGTGCAGGCATCTTAAGGTGTATTTAAACACCTTGAGGGAGATGCTGCTGAAGTCTCTCCAAATGTGTGTACAAACACACTACCTGGGAAGAACATACAGAAGAAAATGTATCAATGACAACCAGAGCAGCTTCTGTCTGCCCTGACATTGTTAAATGTGTCAAACAAAAACGTTTCTGGGGATTTCCTTCAATGCAGTCTTACAAAGTGAAGTTCAATTTATGCAGCTTGTTGAAAAGGAGGGTGAGAGGTGACTCAATCATTGTGTATACGTAATTACAGACGGAAACAGGATCTGATGGCAAGGGACTTCTTCATCTCACCAAGAACCAGCAAAACCACGTGGCTGGAATCTAAACAAAACCGCACCAATTCAAACTTGAAATGAAACTGCTCCTGCCATCAGCAGTGTAAAGGCAATTAGGGAACGGAAAAGAATACAAGGGGAAGCTTTAGAGTCACTCACCGGAGATGTTATGGCAAGAGTAGATGTCACTCCCACAGACAGGCGTTATATTCGGTTTCTGAGACATGTTTTACTGGTTGCACATCATGGCAGCCCCATTTTGTCTTGAGACTCTCTTCCTGCAGAGTCTTCTGCCTTATGTTGTCCCTAGTATACCTGTAACAATTATAATACTGCCATTAAGATAACAACCACAACTGCACATTTTGGAGCATCAGACAACCTGCGGGATTTAGAAACAACGTTAACTTCATATCCTCCCCACCTCCCCAGTTCTCCCCTGATGAGGCATCTTACTTTGCTTATTAGCTATCATCTTGCTTTAAAGAACAAGGGGTAGAAGAGATCATCACTAAATAAGGTAACAACACACCCAGAATGACAGATCAGAACTGCAAATGAGGAATGCTCTTTGGTGCATGACTGGCGTGCATCCCTCACATGTAAGGCAAATCTCAGAGCAGCTTTGGGTAGCTAGGAAGGAAGGAACATCCCAAGGAAATTTCCCTCATTTTTCTGTTGCCGTATGGGGGTAGCAGTGTAGGGCAAACAACAGAGCAAGGAAGAAAAATTAATCCATTCAATAATATTGCTAGTGCTATTTCACCTGACTTTATGCATCTAAGTCTTCCAATACCTTAAAGGGGGCCTAAAGAAACCTGCAGAGGGGCTTTTGACAAGGGCCTGTAGGGACAGGACAAGAGGGAATGGCTTTAACCTGACAGAGGGGAGATTGAGATGAGACATTAGGAAGAAATTCTTCCCTGTGAGGGTGCTGAGGCCCTGGCACAGGGTACTCAGAGAAGCTGTGGCTGCCCCATCCCTGGCAGTGTTCAAGGCCAGGTTGGACACAGGGGCTTGGAGCAACCTGCTCTAGTGGAAGGTGTCCCAGCACATGGCACGGGATGTGAACTGGATGGTCCCTTCCAACCCAAGGCGGTTCTGGGATTCTATGATCTATTATTGTTAGTTATTTTAATTTAACTTCTCCTGGTGTATTAAAACCTGCTAAGACTCTTAATTACATTTTGTACAGATTGTAAATCATTTTAGCTTGCATGCTTCAAGGTGAAATTAAGAAACAATTCCAAGGGAACATTTTCTCTCTTGGTCTTACGATATATAATGCCAGAT